TAGAAAAGTCCTCTCCAGTAGTTCTTGCCCCCACGAGTTACATCGTGAAAATGACGTGCATGCACGCAGACAGTGCAGGACGCACTTCTATTTGTGGTCTTACCGAACTTCTCCACATCGGGCACTCTTTGTGAGGCGGAATAGGACTCTGTTGTGCATTCGCCTCCCATCCAGTGTCAACATTGAATGCATGCTTGTCTTGTGAAAGCCATGAATCGAACCTGTTTATGTTCCAAGGTATGGGTGTTGGTGGGACAATCGAAGTCGATGCCATTGTGTGTGCTACCACCACTACCAAGTGCAGCTGATGGTGTCGACCTCTTCACTGACTTGCATTGACCATGTAGGCAGGTGAGTGAACCGATGGCGTTCTTCAAATCGGATGACGTAGAACTCGTGAGCATATGAAAGACCATGTTCATAAGCATGTGATTCTGACATTTCTGACCTTTTTATGGTCTGAAGGCAGAGAAGAACGCTGGTATCATACTTTCCCATTTACCACGACAAGAATGATGCCCCGCAACAGCGCATCCACATTAGGCGCGTGATCTGTGGAACCAATGCACAGCAAACCACTCCCCCGAAAGTTGGTGAATTAAAAACTCCCACGATACTTTACAAGTCATCAAATGATACCCTTTCCTGTCCCACCTCTTCACTATCACTAATGCAGCTACTTCCAGACCCGTCGACTCTCGAAAGATTTTAGGGACCTCAGAGGCCTTTGTATTGATCACGTGGCCACATGTTCAGCCTCTCGTCTCACTAGCAAAGATGGTATTTGTTGAGAATCAGTAAAACAAATGTGTAAAAAAGTTATGAGTAGTTTTCATTTCTTCCCTTCGACCATTATTACGTGGTAGCCGAATTTAGTCTTCACCGGAGGATCCGTGTACACCGGTTTATCCACCGTAGAGATTGGTAGTGCAAAAGCTGCCTCCTAAAAGAGAGCGGAAGAGAATTAAAGATGTTGAGAAATTAGAGTGTTACAAAGACCCCTGCTTAGATGACATTCGATCGGAATAATGCACTCACCATATGGAAGGTATGCAACTTGATTCATCGAGAGGCGATAAAACAAACCTGAAAGGGTCCCACCATGGAGCCACGGGCCATCCAGCCGAGGTCGCCACCAGAACGTGCCTTATCCTCGCTGTACTGCTCTGCCACGGTGTTGAACTTTTGGCCGCCCTTCAGTTGCTCGATAGCCTCCAATGCTTTGCTCTGCTTCTCGCACAAAATGTGACGCACCTTGAAAGCAAAAAGGGAGAAATCACTCCCCATCCACCTTTCAAACACATTTCTA